GCCACCAGCCCCAATGCCCGCTGCCCCCGGTGGACCGCCACTCAGACCAGCCCCACCCAACCCCCTGCCTTTTCTCTACCGTGTTCCTCTCCTTTGGTCTCCGGACTTGCCTGCCCGCGGTTTCGCCACAGCCTGCATACCCCGAAGTGCAACTCCTCTGCCATTCCAGAACAAACCCGTTTTTCTGGTAAAATGGCCGGCTGTTGTATTTGCAAGGTCGAAATTATATGGTGTCAAATACAGGAGCCAGAGAAGACCCCCAACAGCCCCTGAGGCCGGCGAGCAACGGACTCCATGAGCATTCTGCTTCCTCGCCGACCCCGGGGGGTAAGTCTCCTCTGCACCTGAGATCCACTGTCTGCATTTTGAGCTCTCCAGATTTACTCAGGATCTGTCTTAAAGACTTTGTCCTTGGGATGCATACTTGTTTTTCTGAGGTTTTTTTTTTTTTAATTTTTTGATGTTTATTTATTTTTGAGAGAGAAACAGAGCACAAGCGGGGGAGGGGCAGAGAGAGAGGTGGACACAGAATCCGAAGCAGGCTCCAGGCGCCATGCTGTCAGCACAGAGCCCCACGCTGGGCTCAAACCCATAGACGGAGAGATCATGACCTGAGCCAAAGTCGGACGCTCAACTGACTGAGCCACCCAGGCACCCCTTGTTCTTCTGAGCTTTTAAGCTAACAGTACAAGATCCAAATCTGCTAAGTTTTCTCAGGAGGGTCCTCCTTCCGGGACCCTGGCCAGCTTTGTTTAACAACTATGGTCCCTCCTCATGCACATTTTTAACCAAATGGGCAAATTTAGCTAAAGATAAGCCATTCAGGGAAACTTCAGGTCTCCCCAAAGTTAACTTTTCTCAAAATCAAATTAGAAGACCATGGCTCTAAAGTAGGGGTTCCTGGGTGACTCAGTTAAATGTCTGACCCTTGATCTCAGGTCAGGTCTTGATCTACGGGTGGGGAGTTCAAGCCCCACATTCAGCTCTGTGCTAGGCATGAAGCCTACTTAAAAAATATATATATATAAATGTAAACAAAGTGAATGAGATGTTTATTTTTAATTGGCACCTGGGGGCACCTGGGTGGCTCAGTCGGTC